CTAGGGATTGACATACAATTTTTTTTATTATAAACACATCCTATTTAATAATGGATTTTGAACTAAATTTTTTCCTTTAATTTTCCTTATTTTCCCATCAAATTATTTATAAATATATATTTGTTTATGAACTCAATATAACGGTATAGAAATATTATAAAAGACAATAACAACAACAACGATTAAATATATTTAAATATATTATTAATGTAGTGATGTTTTTAATAATTTTGAATAATTTAATATTATTGAGAAAAATTTAAGGAAACATCTATTTATTATATAAAAAGTTACAAAACAACTAAATGATCTCTACATATACTTTAATTAATTGTAGGCAACACCAGGGGGTTATTATTTATGTTTTATCTACTGTATTACAGTACCGGTATTATGTAATGATAATTTATTTTATTGTATATAAATATTGATTATAAATATAATATAAAAATGTTACTCAAACTTCAAAGATACATTAACAATAATTTATATTTATAATATATTGTAATAAAAATATATTAAAAGTATCTTGGTAATATAATTAAAATTAGATTAGAAAGAAAATTGAGTACGATTAAATATTTTAGATTTTTAAATAATTTAAATTAATGTCAATTACAATATATATTAAATGTAACAAATTATTGTTTTAATGCATCATATATACAGTATATGATAATAAAGTTATCATATTATAGCATTAAAACTTAAAAATTATCGATAAATAGTATAAAATGCATGTATATTATAATATAATAACATATTTATAAAATGCTTACCAAATTATTGAGCTAATGGCAATAATTGATGATAAATAAAATAATTGGTAGATTTGAAAATTATTTACGACAATTATTATAATTATAATAATAACTTTACAAATGACTTGTGGAAATAAATAACTATTTTACAAATAATGCTAAATATTTTAAGTATGAAATAAACAATTAAGTTTGATGTCTGTATTAAGGAAATGCTATTAAATAACAAATATATATATATATATATATATAATTATATATATAATTTTAATTTCATATTTATGAATTGTCACTGAAATCAGCAAACTTAAGAAAATCTCCTTTACGTCAATCACATCAAAATCACGCTTTTGAAACGGGAAACTAAACTACCAGAGCTGTGCCGGTACTTCATAACAACAAAATAAATCTAACAGTGCTTTCTCTCTCTCTCTCTCTCATACTCTACACGTGGTTATGTCTACTCTGTCTCTAAAAGTCTACAAACTATGACATCGGATGACAATCTAATCAATAAAAATATTTATTAAAAGTCCACACGTCATATGTTTGCTAATCTAATAGTTTATATATATATAGCAATATTGTATATATAATATTACTATTTTTTATTATATAAATAAAAAGATATTTTGTAATTTTCAAGGCTAGTGTTACTTTTGTACTAAAATTAGTAGTGATTCCTCAAACGGTTACTTTAGTTTTAATTGATAATGTTATATATATATTATATATGCTATTTTAATAGATTAATCAATATACTATACAAATATAGTATTAAAAAAATTGTAAATTTATATTTATATTAAAAATTTCTATACAGTAGCTTTTATGTAATTAAAACAATTAAAACAATGATAATCAGTTAGATTTAAAATAAAATTTTATGAAATAACTAAATTGTTTTAATTATTTTAATTTTAAATCATTTTAAGAGATATATTTTTACTTAAAATAGTTTTATTAAATAAATTAAATTTTGATTTTGTTGCAAATTTTTTTAATTAGAAAAATATAAAAAAAATAAATAAGATATGAAAATTTATAACTATAGAATATACTGTAAATTAACTTATTGTTTAATTTTTTTTAAACATACAAAAATAATACAATTTTTAAGTTAATAAAATAATGAAATTTTTAATCATAGTATGAATTATTTACAATATGGTATTCATTAATTTTTTAAGCAAAATATAGTTATAAAAAATATAATCAGATTATATATAAAATATAATAAAAATTAATAATAAAATGATGCAATTGGTGATGATAATGTAGGCGATATTGTTGGCACAGGTATGTTAGGATAGGCATTGAACTGATTTTCTAAACTATGGGTACCAGATATGAGTGGTTGATGTCTATAAACTGACGATTGCTGTGCCAATGAAAAGGGTTGAGGCAATGGTATTGATCCCATCGCATGAATCAATTGATTAATTTTAATATCATTATTTTTACTATTATTATCATTGTTGTTAAACATCATACGATTGTCATTATTTTTCTGATAACTTTCACTGGACTTTAAATCACTTAAATTGACATTATTTTCACCATTATGTCCACCATTAGTATTAATATTTTTATTATCATTATTTTTATTATCTTGTTTATTGGTCTCAGTGGACAAAAATGTAAACTCCAATTCATCATAATTAATATCATCACTGGGTTTTGGTATTTCATTATTTATTTGTTGTCGACCTAATTAAATATATATCAAAATTATATACAGAGAAATGAAATAAAAAATTTAGTATAATTTTTTAATTTTATATATTTTGTTATTTATTTTTATATGTTTCATATAAATTATATTAAAATGTCATACCGTTTGATTGAATGTCAGTTTTCTGGTTGTTTTTGTTATTATGTTGAGATTGTTTGCTGAATGGCTTATAATCATTCAAAATCTTAAGACCGGTGCCATCGTTGACAAAGTTAACAATATGTAGTTCCCCATTGGCATCGGTATATCTATAGGTACCGATCGGTTCGTTCATTATCTGATCGGTGACGGGTATATCAAAATCTTTGCCATTGTTGATGGACACTAATTTTTCGGCAGCGGCTCTACTATTGGCACCGGTATTGGCAGCTGAGGTACTGATAACGGTGTTCATAGTGACGGCATTTTGCCAGAAATTTTTGTAACGATTCACTAAATCCGTTTCGGTTAACATTGTTTTGCTTTCAAAAACATTGCTGTTTTCAGGAAATTTTTGTCTATTATTATCATCAAATGCTTCAACATTAATGAAATCATTTGCATTATATAAAAACTGAAACATTAATGTTATTATAATGTTTTGCCGTTTCGATGATAATTTCTATCGGATGTATAAGAGAAAAATAATTATTAAAAAAATAAAAAATTAAATTGTATGCTTAAAAAACTTTGGTGTATATGTAATATAATACTATCTAAAGTGTTATGCAAAATGTTTTTTTTCATTTAAGCAATTGTGCTGCTAATGGTGTTTACAAAAATAAAAATTAAAAGATTAAAAGTGTGATTAACACTGTGTTATATAATTTAATAAATGGCAAAAGTTATAATTAGTATCAAATAACATGTTTAATATAAATAATAAGAAACAACAAAAAATATTCTTAAAAATCTATTTTATTTATATTTTAAAAATTTATTTTTATAATAAAATGTGATACTATCTAAAAATGTTGGTATTTAATACTAAAAAAAATAAGATTTTCATTCAATGATATCTACCATGAATTAAATCTCAAGCACTCAAAATATTAAATAAAAATAACAAAACAAATGGTTCAGTGATTTACTTACCATTTTGTTTGATATGAACAAACAAACAACAAAAAATTAGTTTTGATTTTATTTGATATAAAAATATTTGAGATTTCAAATAAATTCAACCAACAAAGCAAAAAGAAAAGTTAAATTACTTTATAATTTAAATGACATATGTTTTGGATTGTATTTTATTTAGTACACAAATACTAATAAGATTTTTATATACACAAACTATTGCGTTCATACAATAATATACTATATGAAAAAATAAGTATAAATCTTAATAAAAAATATATAACTTAATGTTTAAAAAAAGAAATTATTTTTGTTAAAATAAAGCGTTATTTGATTTTTGATTTGCAAAATCAAATAACTCCACCTTTTTTTCTATATAACTAAATATATAATTTCTATATTTCTATAATATGTATACAAATATAATATTATATTAGTTAGAGGACATAATAACAACTAATAAGTAAAAAAATGTTTTATTAATGTATTTAAAAATTACAATTGATTTTTAACGACTTTAGGGCAACTTTAGGCCTTTAGGATACTATTATATTTTATTATCGTTGAATTTGTATATTATTTTTGGCTACAATATAAATTATTTTTTATTTGATTTATATTTACCATATTTATATATAATCATATAACTTATATGTCTATTAGGAAAATACCAACAAAAAAACCATTTGACGTTATAAAACAAATATATAATAATTACTAATTAATGTTTGCTATTATTATTTGTTTAAATTATCGTATATAAATATTTTGATACTGTAATTAAGCAAACCATTTTTATTGTTTGTTTATAATAATTACATAAGACCATATACCATTACCCTAATTATATTAGATATAAATTATTAACGATATTTTTAATAATAATAATTACAGAAAATATGAAATTTCCAGTTATATAGTATATTATTAAATTACAGAAAAAATATATATTTATATATTAGCTATAATTTAATAATAATACTAATAATTGATGATTAGGTGGTTCACTAGCCTTGAGAACCAGATTCAGAATTTAAGGCTAATCTATATAAATATATGGATTAAAAATAAATGTAATATAATATTATACATAAATAGTTTGATGCAATATTAAGATTGACGCCTTGAGATAAAGTTAACAACAAAAAAACTTGTTAATTATATTGTTATTTCTATCCCACAAAAAAATCCAATTTTGTTACCAATTTTGAAGGCAAACTACATTTTATTGTTTATAGCATTATTTATATTCAATATATATATAGTATTTTATTGTATTTATAATGTATAGCATATTCATTAATATTAAAATAAATCAATTATTATGACAACTTTCATATGATTAAGAGTTTATTAACAATAATAATAATAGCTTTTTTGAATATAAATATATTAACTAAAAATTTAATTAAAAATTTATTTATATATATACAGTATATATATTGTAATCAAAAATGAAACGCATGATTTCCTAAATACATTTTGCCGCCCTTATCCCTGTCCTCATAGGAACTATGATAGTGGCCAACAATGGGCGCCTGTAGTTCATGTGCTGGCGGTGTCTGAACTGAATAATACCGATTATTACCGGCGGCAACAAAATTTCTGTGCGATGCGTGCGGATCGTGACCTTCGACGACGTCACTGTCAATTAGCGGCAAACGTCGGACAGTTGGCTCTCTGACATCACTGTCCGACAACAACACCAGTGGTGATTGTAATTTATTTTTCAAGTTTTTGCCACTTGTCTGGCGAGCAAAATATCTAACAAAATCAGAGGTTCCCGGAGGCGGTACTGGATTCTGGCCGTTGTCTGTATAGTATAGATATTGTTTGGCCGGTATTTCCGGTCCAATCTGGAAGAACTCGTATGGATTTCGACGACGCCTTTCCTCATCGATCTGTCATTTGATTTTGTTGTTGAAAACAAATTTAAGTTATCACATGTTATATAAGAGAGATAAATATAAAATATATTTTATATTATTATATCCTAATAAATAAAAAAGACTTTGAATTTGATTACTTGACAGTAGACGATGTTAACCATCAATAATATAACGATTGCTATATCACTGGTCTTATGAAATACAACAACAAATAAAAAATGATAAAAAACATTATTTACAATATAAACATTTTAATAATTTAAACAAATTTAAAATATTTACTACAAATACACAAACACTTAAATAACTTAAATCTAATTTATTTTTTGTTATCTATCTATTGCATTATTTATAGATTATATCATACAATAGATAATATATCTATAGTATAGTAGAGTAGATATATATATATATATATTTATATACTCACCAAAAACATGTTAAAAGCTATTTAGTTATTTATTTTGTTTTTTCGGGTATCAACTCATCTAATCCTCTGAATAGGAAGTTTACAAATGAAGACATACAGTATAAGACCACTTAAATTCAATATATGACATAAAAGTGAGTTTCACTAAATAAGATGGGAGTGAGTGTGTGTGTATGTGTGTGTGTATGTGTGTGTGTGTATGTGTATGTATGTATGTATGTATGTATGTGTGTGTGTGTGTGTGTGTGTGTGTGTGTGTGTGTGTGTGTGTGTGTGTGTGTGTGTGTGTGTGTGTGTGTGTGTGTGTGTGTGTGTGTGTGTGTGTGTTTGTTTGTTTGTGTGTTTATATTATTATTATTGTACTTAAATCTAACTGTCCGCCTATGCAAACTATCCTTTTTTGTGCAAAAATAAATATACATTATTATAGTTTTCTATAACTTTATGAATTATATTATAATAATCACTAAATAGATTTGATAGGCATAATAACAATTGTGTGTTTATATGTTATGGTATTTTATCTATTCATTTACTAATTCATTGCAATAATGTGTAAAAAATATATTCTTTATATTAATGTTTATTTAAGTGATGGCAAAAACATTTTTTTAATGCTATTATATGTCTGACAATACATTTTTAGTACATATATGTGGGAATCAATTTGGATATACATTTGTAATTTTAATGTATGTATGTGTGTGGGATGTCATCAAAAACTATACAGCTTTTAGATTGTCTAACATTTTAACTAATAACTAACTGTACAATTTGATGGTTGTGTGCTTAAGGTTAAGCCGTTAGTTATTAAAGTTTTTTATATAAAATTTTATTTTTATTTTTATAGAAAATTTATCAAAATAAAACATAATTTTTGATATTTCAAATAAATTTCAAAAAAATCCTCCAAACTATGGAAACATATATAATAGCAAAAAAAGTTAGATTTCAAATCCACAAAAAACTTAATAATAATAACTAACTGATGACTGTAGACATGTATTTCCATTAAACTTTCATTTCATTGACATTTTTTTTGTTAGTTAATATTTTTTTTAATTTTATTTTTATACTTTTATTTTTCATTGCTATTAATACAACTTTATGTAACTTGTTGTTATATTCATTGATAAACAGTATTTCAATTATTTTTATAAATCATATATCATATGTCACCAGAATTGATGTCTCCGTTTTTTTGTGTATAACGTATTTTTATATGCGTTTTTAATCATATCTACATAAAGACATTATACAACATTATATACATATATTTACAAAATATATATTATTTTTAATATAACATTAATAATAATACTAAATGTATAAAACAAACACCACTCGTGTGATTAAGTATTGCAATTTATTTTCATGAATATATATTGAATATTTATTGCAGTATATGTATAAAAATATATTAGAAATATAAACAATTAATAAAATTAATGTTACATAATTAATTTTCTCTCTATATATTTGCTGTACTATTATATAAATAAAAATATAAAATATTGTTAGTCTGTTTAAATATTTTATGGTGAAACTTAGATTTATAAATCATATTATAAAATATTATCATAATATTACAAACAAACATAACAAAAAAAACAGATAATTTAATTTTAACTATTGATTTAATTAAAATAAAAATACAGAGCAATAACACTACCAGTCATGTTTGCCACGCGGTGCCGGGTGTTTAAAATGGTAGCCAAATGATGCATGTTTTTTGTGGCCATGTCCATGGGAGGGCCCCCTCCATACATTTATGGATGTGCGTCCATGGTGATGACCAGCGTAGGCCGGTGCTGTTTGAATGGCAAATATTGCCACTAATACGGTGGCAAATATGACAAATATTAGACGAGACTATTTAAAAATATAAAATAAATATTATAGATGTATTATAAAAAATTTATTTGCAAATATAAAATTGAAGAAATTAAAAATAAAACAAATATTTATTTATATAATAAAAACATTTTTGTAAAGTTAATGCATTTGACATGTATTTTGATAAAATAAAATAAAACTAATATTCAGTTAAAATTTAATGTAAAACTACTGTCCATCCAATATCCAGTATATTACTACTAATACACCTACGCTTTTGACGTTAGGTTTAATTCAATCAGACAGTCAACATAATAGCAAGAAATTTAATAATAATAAAACAAAATACACTAATATTTTTAGATAATATGATACTATCAATACTAATATAGCAGTTGAGATGTATAGTTAAAATATTTGTTGGAGACTTACATCCATTGGGGAAAACGAAAATATTTTCTGTAATACAAATTGCAAAAAATGCCGAAATATTTCCACAAAAAAACAAATAATATTTTTTCGAAATATTATATTAATATAACAAAACTTATGGATATAACACAAAAATGCAAAAGTTTATGAACCTGTGTGTGTGTGTATTATAACTTATATGTGACTTACAATGATTTGATGGTACACTTTTTTATTTTTACTATCATTTTGCCAATAAGTTGAATTATTTCCCACCTCCCAGTGCTGCTAAACTAACTGTGCTATTAGTGCCAAGAACTTTATGGACGGTTGACTTGAAGAAAAAAAAGCAAACCACACGTCTATTTGGGTGGTATTGCCGTTTGTGGTCATACTTGCAATTAGACGACAAATTATGTGCAAAAAAATGTTGGTTCATAAGAGTAAAATAAATTAATGAAAAAAACTGGTTTACACACAATTATATACCAATACTTTTAATACTATATAACAAAATTAGAAATTAACGTCAATTGTGTTATTTGATTGTAACAAATTAAATGATACTTTATTTGTTATTAACTAATTTTCTCCTCACTGTAATCAAGGAGTAATACTAAGGATTGTTTTTAATACTATTAAAGATTATATTTAATGTAATACCGGAAACTTTGTGATCAATTTGTTATACATAACCAACCGTATCACTGATTTGAGACTTAATTTAAACAAAAAAAAAATCTTATTTACTATTTATATAAATTTTATATATATTCATTCAATAATTACATAATATATAATATCATATTTATAATATCATCCATAAAAAATGAGGTCATAATAAATGATTATTATTATGTTTTATAAACAGCAATAAAAAAAATTTTTGTTTGCGATAATTAATGTGATTTTGGTTACCAATCATTACTTGCTGTCATAAACTAAACCAAATACAATGTTAACAAATATTTTTGGATAAATTTGTTTTGCGAAATAGTATTTTATTTTTATATAATATTTTTAGTTTTCTTTTCTATATCTTTGAAATATTTATTTATAAATTCTTTATATTATTTATTATTTCCAGAAAATTCAATAAATATGAAGAAAAAATTTATATAATTTATTTATATACAAATACAATATATAAATGAAATTTATATATTGTGAATAATTTTATTTACTGTCAAATTGTATGGTATTTGTAATATTTTTTATAAAAAAAAAATTATTGCAAATAGATTTATAAAAATTTATTAATTTAACATTTTTATTTAAAAAAATAATATTTAAACTAAATATTCAATAAAAAATAACCAACAAATAAATTCAACAATTCTTAATATTTAGATTAAGATTTTCGATTTAATAAAATATGTTTTACAACAAATTATTAATGAGATATAAATATTTTTTTTCTCGAAATTTATATTTAAATATTTATATAGGCAAAAAAATTCACAAAATAGACAATAGAATATTCTTTATTAATAATAATATTATTAAAAGCTAATATTGTTATAACAAATATTTATAATATATATATATTATATATACTTCTTTTACTACATCTACAATGACTTTCAATATTATCACATTATATTAAGTCGAGTAATTTTTTCATAAAAATAAATTATATAAATATTTCTAAAATATACATCATATTTATAAACTCCTACGCTATACAACTCACTAGTGTATTAGGTTTACTTTATATTTATATATATATAAATTTATATAATAAGTAACAAAAAATCTAATATATATAAGAATGTATATATAGTGTAATAGTAAACTAAAGGTAAAATAATATTGAAATACTCTATAATAGAGTATATCAGTACTATTAACTACTATCTTATAGCAAACATACAGTATAACCCACGCATAAAATTGAAAAATAAATTTATTTTCAAATCTTTTCATTAAATAATAGGATTTATAATATTGATTATATTATATATTTTGTTTAAAAATATTTTTATTGTATACGATTTCATCCATTGTTTAACCAATTTTAAACATTTACTTTAAAATACTATAAGTTAGTTGTTTTATTTTATTATAATAAAATTGATACAAAATTTATTGTGTAGACTAATTTATAGCATACAATTTATAGTATAATATATTATAAACATTTATCTAAAATGTAACAAAATTAATTACTTTTTTTTTATTTTTTAAAATAATAAAATTATACACTTATAATAAATACCAATACAATTATTTAAATAATAAAGTATATATTTGTAAAATAAAATATTTATTTTTGTTGTGAAAAATAAAATCGATTCAATTAATTCATTAATATGTTTTCAGATCAGTAAACTATTTTTTATTTTAATGTATAGAAATTGGCGCTAAAAATAATTATCAAAACATCAATTATTATTGTGTTCAATATATTGGTTGAGTGGCATTAAACTCATGATTAAAATGATTGTATGCGTGGTATATACTATCAAATACTTTATATAATGCTAAAATAACTTAATTTAATTGTATGGGCAATTTGTTTGAACACAACACACACACACACACACACACACACACACACACACACACACACACACACACACACACACACACACACACACACACACACACACACACACACACACACACACATACACACACATTAAATAACACATTTAATGCAATGGACTGGTATTTTATGTATGATGTATGGCTTGTTATTATGTAAGCCATGGATGCACTCAAAATTGAGAAGTGAATTGTATGAATGTATAGTAAGTAAGTGTATGTGAGTGAGTAAGTGAATGAGTGTGTGTGTGTGTGTGTGTGTCTGTGTGTAAGCGCCGACGTATAAT